CAGGATTGCAAGAGGATGATATGGAGAGCTTCCAACATTCATTATATTGCCTCATTCTCAATCTCAACACACTGTAGATGGGAATTATTTAATGAATGTAGTAGTTAAGCAATGACTTTGTTCTGGGTAATTTTTATTTTAATGTCACCCTTGTAGTCTGACAGCCTCTGGAGGCTCTGATAACTGAGAAAATGAGCCTCTCAAAAAAACTGCACATTTTTAACAGAAATGTTAACTTGTTACTACTGTAGGCACATGTCCTGGAGACTTGATGTACATCAAACTGAAGTGAAAATGTCTGAATGTAGAGGGCACCCACCTTTTCATTAAGTTGGGAGGCACTACATGTTACCATCTCTGGAAAGTTCTGCTGCCAGTGCGTGGCATACCTTCAAAGTTCAAATTTTGAGCTTCCTCAAACTTACTAGAATTTTCCTCATTCCAAAGGTTTCTCTTGCACATGGTCTGCACATGATCAATTGATTGTTATCTAGAGCTGGTGCTACTTTCAAACACTGTCTAAGCACTACCTCCTGCAAGATGGCCATGACCAACAGCACATCAAATTCACCCTGTGGCCTCATTGATTCTGCCACACTCACAGATTCACCAATTTTTCTGTTTCTTGGATTGTGAGTAGTTGTCTAATTGGATGTTCAAATGTTACTGACCTGCTTCTAGCTTGTCAATGTAGCTATGTCAACAGAGGACACCCAACCTACTGAAGTCTCTGGAGGCTCCTGCCTCAGTAAAGAATGGAAAAACCTCGATGATGGATACCTTGTATTATGGGTGGGATGAGGGCACTTGCTGGTAAGATTAATCATGACACATCCATCCTATCTAAAAATCATTTCAGCATCACTTGGTGGGATGCTCTGTGGCACACAAGTGCTGACTTCCCCTATAAAACTCTCCCAAGGGAACTAGCTCGCCTCAGGTATGTCCTCACTACCAATTACCCTATGATACCTTGATACCCAGCGAGCTGCGCCCCTCTCTCTCTCTACACCAAAGGCATCCATGATCTGAGCCACTACCTTGCATCAATCTCATCAACCACCTCAAGGCAGGCACCCACCATCTGAGCAGTGAAGAGTGATGCTGCTCATACACATCTCACTACATCAAAGGACCCCATTGTAATCAGAGAGCCCCCTCAGCTTGCTCTTTACACTCCCATGGGCAGTGTGCATTTGCTGATGGTTGATCGACAGAAAGGGTCTTCCTCATCTTAGTTTACCTTCTTCTTTACCTACTTCTTGTTGTTGCACCCAAGTTATTGTGGAAATCACACAACCACCTCCTCAACCAGCTTCTTGAGCAGTTCCAAAACCATCTGGTGTGCATACCAGTGATCTTATCCCACACATTACTTCTGTCAAGGGGAGACCATCCAGTTCCAAGGACGATGACATGACTGGCAGTGCAAATGATGAGGACGAGTCAGAGTTGCAATTTAGTGACAGTGAAAGTCACCCTGCAAAGTGCCTTAGATGTTGATCAAAGTCCATCCTATCATCAAATGTAGATAGCAGATGTACATAGGTCATTCTTTGGGACTAACCTAATTCTGACATTGTGTTGTCTTGGGCATGAAGTAGATTTTCAGCCATGGATTAATGAAATCTTTAGTCACAAAGCCATTTGATACCAAGCCCCCTTTGGAGCCTCTGGAGCCTCCAGAGGTTCACCAATTCACCATCTACACCCTCCTCAGTGGACCTCCATGATGTCTGGTACATTGTTTGCTTCTATACCTCCATTTTTCTAACTTATTTAGTCTTGAAATTAAGGACTTCCTTCACACACACTTAAATTTTGATATAAGTATGAGGTGTTGTGCCCTCCTTTTTTTACCCACCTTTTGGATCTGCAATTCCAGTGAGTATTTTCATTGCTACATGTCATTTTCTCTGATCTTGCGCAAAGGGTATGAAGCTAATCTATCAGACTACTATTCTGACCCTACCAATGACCAGGCATCCTCACCTCCTGTGTACCTTTCTGTGTTATCACCTGCTGCTATGGATTCCAAATATACACAGGGAGGATATGCACAGGAACAGTTCAGAGGTGGTTGATACAAGGATCTGCTAACAGAACTCACTCCATCAAGACTATGGAGCACAATCAAGCCCACATCTCACAACATTGGTATCGCAAGGGATGCTGCTATCCAACATCAAGCAGCCTGTGCTCCCAGCAGCTATACCACTAATACCTTCACATCTGGTAATTCTTATTGAAGATCTTTTCTCCAGATTTCTGACTTTGTCCTTGCTGCTAGAGTTGATGCACTCCAGCCATCACAACTCTCCTTTCATTGAGGCCATGCCTGCTCAACATCCTGCGCAGACTCAAGATCTATTTTCCAGCACATTGGCACCCACTAGCCAGCAGCCACAGCCAGTCATGCCTCAAAATTTGGATGTATTCACCCAGCAGCCCCAGTATGGCGCTCTCGATCAAAACTCCATGGTTCCTTATAACCTTCTTACCATACCATCTGGAGTTCAGCCATTGTGGCCCATGCCATCACCTCTGATAGAACATGAGGCTCCCAGACTCTCCCCTAGCCCACTGGCTTTGTATTCGCAGTTACTGACCTCACCACTTCTCATGCCTGCAGTTGCAGGTCCAAGCTCTCAGGGAGGTTCACAGCCCAATATGCATGGGTCAGATGGGCCCTGGAATTTTTCATCCATAGTGTTAGCAAACTCTTTGCCACCTCAAGGAGCTGTTCTGATGATGCATATCATCCCACCAACTCCCCTCAAGCCTTTTGAGCTTTTGGCTCCACCTTCTGCTGGTGTGCCATGTCACCATGCAGTCACATTCAGTCCATCAGCCACTGGAATATCTCATGTTGGGTCTGATGTTATGATGGATGATGATAATGCTCCCATTGCTGGTCGACATTCATCAGAGACAAACTCTGCACTCAAAGAAGGGTGCACTGCTTTGGATGCCATTGTCAATGATACCACAAAGAATATGAATATGCCGTCCTACCAGGTAATCAACCTGTGGATGAAGAGTTGAGGTCAAGTGATCAATAGCACCAACTACTGGAATCTTTATGCAGGGTACTTCAAGGACTGGATGTGCCAGGAATTTGTAAGGCTTGGTGATGGCGCTCCTCCTCAGGATGGTTCAATGACACCAAGTAAGTGATTCGTTTATACTGTGTGCTTTTTGCTCAGTGCCATATATTGATCTTACAGGCACTGGTGTTCACCGTCAGTGCTATGAGCTCTTCAAGAAAAGCTATCCAGACACTTATCAGGATATCCTTGATACCTACAGAGAACTCAACATGCTGACAGATAATCAAACCATTGTGCAAGCAAGGGTTTGAGGCCACCATCATCATATGTGGTAACATTGTTAATGAAGATGTGTCACTAGGCCATGTTCACACAATGCCCAGCACTGGCAGTGTAAGTGTTACCCTCCTTGAAAGTATTTTATGTATTAATACCTCTGTAGTTTTTCAAAAAGTGCTGCCAAGCTAGTAATGATGCCATCATTGGGCATATCAAAGCACATGTGTACAACACCATCTCACTGTCTGCTGTGGAGCAGGCCTTCAAGGGCACAGAAGGAGATCAAGAGCAGGTGCTGATAGAGATCCCAGATGTGAGCTCATCTGAGTCAGAGAAGGAGAAGGATGCATTGAAATTGCTGAAGGCTGGTCTCATCAAGTAAGTTGGTATGTAGCACATCATGTCCCATGGTTTTATGAGATCCTGACATTTTTTTCTCAGTGGACCTTGGTGGGAAGTTTGCCGACAGACCTTTCTCATGGATCCTGATGCCTAGTTCCCTCACTAATGACCATCTATGCATTGAGGGGTATCCTGCACACTTGAGTTTGATGCCAGGAGAATCTCATAACATTAATTTATGGAGTAAAGGTCTTGCAGGACTGACACAACATGAGGTCAATGTGCTTGCTCATTTGTTGAAGGCAAAGACAATGCACATTGTTAAGGCAACCAAAACCATAGGAGGTATGTGCTGATACACTTATTAGACCACTTTAGCTCATAATAATTTGACAGGTGCAGTGATAGTCTCCAAGGAGCCTGTCATCATTGGTAAGGCCCCTCCAGCAGACTCTATTTTCCCAAATGTGAGGCAGATGTTTGTTAATGGAACATTTGATTATGGTGGCCCTCCACACCTTCAAGCCAGCTCTGCCATTACCAGGAAGAAGCCAAAGGTCCCCATGTCAGCGCACACTCAGGATGATGTTATGGGTATTGTGGCCAAAGACACCATGACTACCATCCAGAAAACCAACTTGCGTTCCGAGGTACTCATACCTCCTCCATCACATCCATTTAAGCTTGCAAAGCGACTCCCTACTAAACCAGTGCCAGCTCCCATAGAAATTCTGTCCAGTACAGATGGTGTTGAGAAGCCTGATGAGGAGCCTCTCAACTCATCCAATGGCAAAATCCATAGTGAGGATAATGCCGACTATGGTGATTTTTCACATTCACGTTCATGGAAGCTTGATACCAGAGTTGTACAAGCTATGAAAAAGCATGTACAACCAATTGGGTTAGAGGAGGAGATGGCCATTGAGAACAAGCCAAGTGCACAAGCCACAGGCAAGGCTCATGCCAAAGGAGGGCACTCATCTCCTCTCACAGTAGGGTTCTCAGGAGATGAAGAACAGCAATCACAACCTGCTATAGGTAAGTCTTGATGGTTATCTCAGTTCAGTAGTGATCCTGACTGATAATTAAACAGACAATGCAGCAATGCACCTGTGTGATGGACCTCCTGACATTGTGAAAGGTATTTGCTCTACATAAATGTCTGAAGATTTACTAAGATCAGCCCAGTGTGATGTGCATGCCCAGTGACTAAAGGAGGCCAACCTGCTCTCACCAAGACCATGCGTCTCTTGCAAGAAGATGAAGACTCACAGAATAATAGCAGAGCTGTGCAGCCTGAGACATTAGTTGATCATTTGACCTCTGTGCAAGTCACTGAAGCACCCATTCTTCTGGCAGTGCCATCTTCCCCATGTAAAACTGAACTTCCTGCCAAACACACAGGTGGTAATGGACAGTCTGGCCATGTCCAAGATGTGCCTCCCCCACTACTGCAAAATCTAACATGTGCCCCATCTGAGGATATTTGTCCTGGCCCCACCATTTCTAACCTTGATGCACCAGAACCTTGCCATGTTGACCCTTGTGGGGCACACAACAATCACTCCCATGAGCCTCATGACACCTGATACATTCATGGTGACCTGCACACTCATCAAGACAGCTCTCCTGCACTCCCCGATGATGATCATTACCTCAGTGATGCACCATGTGGTGCATACAGTGGCTCAAAAAAGTGACTCAATGTTTGTGACTTTTTGTGTAATTGCTGTATTATGAGCTAGGGTGTGAGAATATGACTAAGCCATAGGGAGGTGTGGAAAAGCTCTGCTTCTAAGCTTTATGTTTGATCCCTCCAGCGTGAGAAAATTATGTCATCAAGTGAAGATATGGTCAATTTAATTTGGTGACTCATTGAGACACTTTTTGACTTTCAGTTTGACCAACACAATCTCTATAATTCTGGTACTTGGTGTTTCCTCCTGTTGCTCTAATTACTTCTGCCACTCTTCTATGCATAATATCTATCAATTTGAGGCATTCCTCATCAACAATCTTGCCCCACTCTGCTGCAACTCTCTCCCAAAGCTGAAATAACCCCTATTGAGGATCTTGATAGACTGCAAGTGATATCTTAAGTAATTACCAGGGCTGTTCAATAGGGTTGAGGTCTAATGACTGGACTTGCCATGATAGCACACTGATGCCATGGTTTTCAAACCATTTTATGGTCAACTTGAAGTATGCTTAGGGTCATTATCTTGTTAGAAGATAATGTGTTCTTCATTAATTCTTGATTCTTGCATGCTTCTGAGCAGATACTTTTCCAAAACTGAAATGTGCTGCTTCACATTCATCCTCCCACCCACCTTACAGAGAATTCCTACTCCATTCCACCTCATACAACACCATACCATCAAATTTCCTATTCCATACTCTAGTGTTTTCTTGACCTTTCTTTCTTCTAGTAGTTCTTTTGCATTTCATTACATATATTCCTAGCTATCTGACCCCATCCTATTGATTTTTGTTTCATCTGACCAGGTAGCCCTATTCCAGTCCTCAACAGTCCAATATTGAGGCTTTAAAGCAAAGGTAAATCTCCTTCCTATATAGGCTGAAGACAGGACAGGCTTTTCTGCCTGTTACAACTTTAAGATTGGCTGCCTTAAGAGTACCCCTGACTATTGAGTGGAGAGAGCAGTATAGATGATGTCATTAATGAATTTGGTAGCTTGAGTAGCATTGGCAGCCTGCCTAGTTGGAATATTATGAACAAGAGATTTTTTGTTATATGATGTAAGCTTGAAAGGATAATCTAATTTGATATTTTTCTTATCTGGATATGACTTTTTTATGATCCTAATGATAGTAACCCTGCTCAGACAAGTTTTGGTGGCAATCTGCCTGGTATACAGATTAGAAAAGCTGATGATACTAACACTAGGGGCTATTTCAGCTGTGGGAGAGAGTTTGCAGCAGAGTAGGCAAGATGTTGATGAGGAATGCCTCAAATTGATAGATATTATGCATAGAAGAGTGGCAGAAGTTAATTAGACAACAGGAGGAAACACCAGTACCAGAATTTATCGAGATGTGTCTGGTCAAACTGAAAGTCAAAAAGTGTCTCAATGAGTCACCAAATAAATTGACCATATCTTCACTTGATGACATAATTTTCTCACACTAAGGGATCAAACATAAAGCTTAGAAGCAGAGCTTTCCCACACCTCCCTATGGCTTAGTCATATTCTCACACCCTAGCTCATAATACAGCAATTACACAAAAAGTCACAAACATTGAGTCACTTTTTTGAGCCACTGTACATGTACCATGAAGACTTGGGCTGGCATGCATATGCCAGGCGACCATGACCGAAGGAGAGTACCCTTATCAGAGGGAATATTTGTATTATGGTGACTGTGGTGAACCTTACCCAGGATATGCTTATGCTCCTTACCATGAGAACCCAGGTTATTGTGATGCCAGTGGGAATAGACAGCCATATTATCATGACGCATGGTACACAGACCATGAACTTCTGGATGACTGTTCGCATGGACCTCCCCCATCAGACATCTGTGGAGAATACATGCATCCAGCTGGTCGTGAAGGTCAAGTTGGCTACTAGCATGCATATCAGTGTGAGGCTTTGACAGATGGCATTGCAGGAGCAGGAGTCCCATTGCCAATGCAGTGCCAGGATCATCTGAAGGAGGGGCCATTCCAAGGTAAATCCAAGGTGTCTGTTGTCTCGATACTATGCTTTTGTACAATGTTCTGATCACTTGCTGCATGTAGAAAATACACCATGATTCATGTCTGATTTGGTGTGTGGGATAATCATCACAAAAAACGTGCAAAAACATTTTGGCATATGAATACAAGATGATATATAGTTAGTTGACACATGTTCAACCAGGTCACTCATGACATGATGTGGCCACTCTATTACATAATGAGGCATGAGCAAAGAATTAGAGTAAGGTCTTCAGGCAAGTGGAAGGTGCCAGTAGCATCTTGTGTTTCCACTCACCCATCTCGCTCATAGACTCTAGTCCTATCAAGCATTTCTTTTCTCTTATTCTACCTCTCTACCTCTGCACCATACCTACATCATTTCTCCTCTTCAATTTTCCCTTTTCTCAAAACTAAGAACCCATAATAATAAATACCTCTGTCCTTCCAACATGGCCAGGATCACATCAGACCTGGCTCTGGATATCCAACCCGACTTCACATCTCCCACCTTTGAAGCTCTCAGAGACTGCATCATTGGTGGAACACAAGCATTGCACCAGGAAGTAGCAGCTGACCTCACCACAGCCTGGCAGCAGGACTGGGACAACAGAAGCATTGCATGGGTTGCGCAAGTCAATGAGGATGCTCGTCTCACAGCTGAAGCAGCACAAACAGCACATGAACACACAGAGCATGAACATCTTCACCTAGAACAAGAAACTGAAGATGAACTTCAGGAAGCTGAGAAGAAGAAGCCAAGATGAACGATTTCAAGTGTGGAATGGTGGTAGGCGACACCCTCACCCCTCATCCATCTCAGTATGCCATACACAAGTTGAAGTCCTTTGAGTACATGGAGCTTTGGTATTTTAGCCCTGACAGTTGCAAGGAAACCTCAGATGAAGCAAAATTGTCAGCAGAGGACGCTTTTGGTTTCACAAGGGTTGATGACTTCATCACCCTCAAGCCAGTCACATCCTTCAAAGCATCCCACAAAGCCATTCAAGACCATAGCCTCAATTGGCACCAGTTCGACCTCACAAAGAACAGTTTCCTCCTCTACATCAACAAGCTGAACTGGCCTGAGAAGCGCCAATGGGCCATCACCATGTTCTTTATGAACATTGTGGTGCATCCCTGTAGGACTGAACCCTTTGGAGAATGCACTCTGCTCCTGTATGCAGCCTGCATTCATCAGGATTGGCATGACTCTCTAGTCCTCGACAATGCTTTTGACATCAGCATCTTCAATCTTACTTTGCTTAAAAACATGACAGAGGAAGTTTGGAACAAGTCACGTCTAGAAAGCCTCACAGAGGTCAGTTCCTCCCAAAAAGAGTCCCAGTGCTGCTTCCAATACTAACCACTACTGCTTTCCTGCTCCCTCTCTGTGAAACCTGCTACCTATCCGTGCTACCACTGCTTCCTCTTCCTCCACTTCCACTGCTACCACACTTCTGCTGCTTCCTCCCCTTTGCTTCTGCTCCTGCTGCCCCTCATACAGATGCAACTTGCGTCTCAAGCACAGCACCTCCCCAACCAAGACCAGGGTGCCCCACACCATCCCAGGCCTGAGGAGGAAACCATCATATCCACTCTTGCTCTCGTTCCCCCCCACACAACACCTTTGGTCGCCTTCCTCCTCATCCCACCTCACTGCACTACCAGCGCACCAGACAAGACGAAAAGAAGCCTCCCAAGACCAACAGTTTTTTCAGATTGGTGCAGCACCAAACGGCCATTATGCTTGTGCCTTGTGTCTCAGCCATTTCACCCACAACATCCACAAGTGCAAAAGTGAGGTTCTCTGGGACAGAAAGACTCCCACCTTCTGTCGTCAAAATGCCAAAGGCTGTCTCATCAATGCCTGGGGCTCCAGCTATGCTATGATTGGCAGCATCCCAACAGTTGCACAAGCATCAGCAATGAGCACGTGCATGAATGTTCAGGTTGTGGAAACACAAACCATGGTGCTTAGAGCTGTCCTTGAGGACAGGATGCTTAAGGTGCTCACCCCATACAACCTGGAAGCCTGGCATGTCGCCCTTATGAAATCCAGCCTCATACTAAATATCCCCATATTCCCCATTTGTTACAGTATGGTTTCTTTGGCAGTATCCCTATCATTACAGTCACCCTTACCCGCCTAATAACCCTTCTACCATTGAACACACTAATGCTTTTGCCATGATCCTCATCAGGGAATTTGAGACCAGATGCTACCTGGTCCACTGCCAAGAGCAACCCTGGAGTCAGTCATTGGACCCTTCCAAACTGCAC